TCATATATTTGTATTTGTACATGTGGAACATAAATGCCAAGCAGTTGAGCAATTATGTCTTCTTCCATGATTTTCTTATTATTTATTTTAATTTGATTTCTCCTTAAATGTGTAATCTAGTAATGAACAAAAGCTCATATATATTAAGATATTGGAGACAATTTGTTATTGTAATTATCCTTAGTTAATATTAAAGAGATTTAAAGCAACTCTTATTAACTTTGCCAATAATCGATGTTACAATCTTCATTTTTTTTTTTACTTTTACCTGGAATAATAAGCTATTAGTGTAATAATCTACCAGCTATACATATGATAAAATGTATTAAAATCATATTGATGTATGATTATTCTAGTAATAAATTACAAAAATTAGAAATTATTAATTAATAAGGTTCAAACACTGATACCCAATAATTATAGTGTTTGACTTTGACCTATGTATTTTAATTTAGTATAACCTAACTCACATCTTGATATACAGAACGATCATTTTTTTAAAACTAAACTAGCAATTCTCCTCTTGCAAAGGACAAGATTGCATTAAGAAAGAAAAATAAAATATATGATGATCAAACTGTATAAAAAAAAAATCCACATCGACGTGTGTAAGAGAGAGAAAGAATAAAAAAATACTATCCGAACGGACTATGATTTAGCTAGTGGGTTTGCAAAACTGAATTACTATGGAAGTCATTAGAGGAAAAAAGCTGGTAATAGCCGAAATAGGAGATGAAAAAATAGAATTCTTCATGATCTCTACTACCTAATTTAGATAAGGATAAATCTGTTACAATCTTTACTAATCTAAAATAAATATAAGTAAATAAATAAAGTCATACTTAAATAAATCTCTACAAATTTGGACTACATAAAATTTCCAAACAAAAACATGGAATAAAATCATTGCCAGTTTTTATCAACAAGTCACATATTTCGCCAAATCTTTACAGACGAAAGATGGTGCCAACAGACCACAACATTAAGTAAATATCATTGTTCTAAAAATTGGCCGAGTCGGCTGATTAGTCGGTCTCTGAGGCGGAGGCGGTCCAATACCTTTACGATTTTGGTGTAAACGTTTGAAAACTTGAATTTTGTCCTGTGAGGCGATTTGAGATGGCCCGATGCAGTTTTGAGGGGGTCCAAGAAGGGTAGAGGTGGTCAAACTTTGTGGTAAAAATCGAACAAAAATCAAGATTTTTTTTTAATCCAACACAAAAAAGATGGTCTATTAATAGAAATGAGAGTATGCTTTGTTTTGTTTATGTTAATTGTTATTTTGAAAAGACCTAATGATATATGCTTGCAACATTCAAACATAATTTTGAATGCGGATATTTTTTGTTTTACTTATATATTGTAATGATTTTTATCATATTATGATCTTATTATTATTATTATTATTATTATTTTTATTATTATTATTATTATTATTATTATTATTATTATTATTATTATTATTATTATTATTATTATTATTATTATTATTGTTATTATGTGATTACAATATATAATTGATGCGGATATAATCATGTCTAAATAGTTTTTTATATGCACTTCGAGTATTTACACATGATATCTACAAATATATTGGATTAAATTTGACGACAATCTTGAGTAATATTAAGGGCATATTACAAATAAGCCCATCAGTGGGAACTTATTCATAAAGAGATCCAGACAATATTCTCCTTTACCAATAAGTCCACACATGGTCCAGATTTATGTAAAGGACTAAAATAACACCTCTTACTTTTATATGCTCCAATTTCATCCTTAACTTAATTTAACTTCAATTTGACCCCAAATTTCACAAATTATTCAATTTTGACCCAAAACTTTTTTTTTTTCACAAAATTTTTTTTTTCAAAAACTTTTTTTTTCCGCCGGATTCCGGCGTTGACCGGCGGTCAACTGCCGGTCTCCGGCCGTTGGACTTTTTTTTTTTTTTTTTTCCCTTCCGGAATTTTTTTTTCCGGATTCCTGCGTTGACTTTTAATTTTTTTTTTTTTTTTTCTTCCGGATTTTTTTTTCCGGATTCCGGCGTTGACTTTTAATTTTTTTTTTTTTTTTTTTTTTTTTTTCTCCGGATTTTTTTTCCGGATTCCGGCGTTGACCGGCGGTAAACACCGGACTCCGGCGTTGACTTTTTTTTATTTTTTTTATTTTATTTTTTTTTAATTTTTTTTTCTGTAACTTTTTTTTCCGTTTAAACAACAATATTGCTTTGAATGACAGTAATATTAACTATATTACTGTTAAACATAGTAAAAATAACTAAACTATAGTTTAACACAGTGATATTGCTATATTAATCTCTAGCACATTAATATTAACACAACAAAATTCATTATTATTGTATAATAAAGTAATATTACTATGTTGTCCGTTCAACAAATGTAAACAAAATAAAAAAAACCAAAAGAATTAATATTACTGTGAGTGACAGTAATATTACTATAGCAACAGTAATATTACTATAGCAACAGTAATATTACAATAGTAGACAGTAATATTATTACGTTACTCCGTGAATAACTCAAACAAACAAAATATCCAAACAAAAGAATAATATTGATGTGGTTGACAGGAATATTACTATAACAAACAGTAATATTACCGTCAACCACAGTAATATTATTGTGTTTACAGTAATATTACAATAATAGACAGTAATATTAATACAAACACCACAAAAAAATAATAATATTGATGTTGTTGACAGTAATATTATTGTGTTTACAGTTATTTTACTGTCAACGACAGTAATATAATTACGTTGACTTGTCAACAAATCAAAAAAAAATAAAAAAAAATAATAATAAATAAAATTATTATAATAAATATAATATTGCATTAATTTACTGTCAACAGCAACACAATTACATAAATGTAATGTCAACGGCAGTACAATTACGTTAATTAACTATCATTGACAGTATAATTACGTTAATTTACTGTCAGTGACAGCACAATTACGGTCAACGTTTAGCGGCGGACGTGGAAAAACAAAACAAACCAAACAAAACAAAACAAAAAACTTAAAAAAACACTAAAAAAAGAGACCGCCGGAAACCGGCGAAAAAATCCGGAAGAAAAGAAAAGAAAAAAAAAAAGAAAAAAGCAAAAAAAAAAAAAAAAAAAAAAAAAGTCAACGCCGGAGACCGGCGTTGACCGCCGGTCAACGCTGGAAACCGGCGAAAAAATCCGGAAGACAGAAAAAAAAAAAAAAAAAAAATTTAAAAAAGTCAACGCCGGAATCCGGCGGCAAAAAAAAAGTTTTTGAAAAAAAAAATATTTTTTGAAAAAAAAAAAATTTTGGGTCAAAATTTAATAATTTGTGAAATTTGGGGTCAAATTGAGATTAAATTAAGTTAAGGATGAAATTGGAGCATATTAAATTATACTCCAAAAAAAAGTCAAAATTGAATTTTTGTGGTCAAAATTGAACTTTTATGGACAAAATTGATTAATTTGGATTACAATTAAGAATTGGGTATAAATGGTTAAGGGTAATATTGGGATATACATGAATGTTTCCTTTAGTTATAATAAATATTAAAGGGATGGGCTTATTGGTAAAAGAGATATGTCCCCTAAACCTAGAATAATAAACATGCTTGGTTGGGGACTTTTGCATAAAAATCCCTAATATTAATGTGTCAATTGTAATTTTTCTGTAATCAAATATAGAGATATTAGATATATTATTGTTAATCATAATATAATAGCTATATATTACTGTTGACCACAACATAATCACCGAAAATGATATTTTGTAAAAGAAATACTATTCTTGTGGTGATTGCCGCCAAAAAAGAAAAAGAGAAGGCAAGGGGGTGCTGGTGGCGGCAGCAAATGGGTTGTGATGGGGGCGGTGGTGGATGGTGAGTGGAGGTAGTGGGTGGTGGCGGCAGGTGTTGGCGAATGGGTTGTGGTGGTGGTGGTGGTGGTGCAGCCGTGCAGGTATTGGTGGAGAATGGGTGGTGGTGGTAGGAACAGTGGGTCAAAATTGGTTAATATACAATACATGTTAGAATTGGGGTCAATGTAAAATATAAGCAAGCTAGAGCTTCAATTATGGATTGAGGGTGTTCAAAAGGATAGGTGTATCATGTATGGCATATATGGTAATATTTTTTCTTATTTCTAGTAAGTGTTGGACGGATAGATTTATTTACCAAATAGAAAATTAGAGTTATACCTCTCTAAATTACCACAGTTGAGACTCACAAAATTAAAATTCTACTCCCTCCATTCCATTTTAATTGTCTTTTTGAGCTAATTCACACATATTAAAAAAGCTAATAAATGTGCATGAATTCTAAAAAAATTATAATAAAATGACTAACAAACCACTTTCATTTAACCATTAATTCTCTTAATAGTAATAAGGGCATAGTTAAGAAAACACAATAAATACTTCATTGGAATCCTTAAGTGACAATTATTTTGAAATGAAAAAAATTCTCTAGAAAGACAATTAAAATGGAATGGAAGGAGTATTAATTTAGCAAAATATTAAATTACCGAGCTAATAATTTATTATGCTTTTACCAAGTCGAAACCATAAGAAATTATTATTTGAGCGAGGTCTTTAATTTATCGAGGTTCTACTATAGTATGTCATTTTTTTAATTGTGCGTCGGCCGTATGCAATTCCCCCTGCATAATATCAAACCTCAAGTGTGGTAATTTTCCATACCACAGGGATTCATCTGTAGTTAGTAGTTACACATAACCTCCGGGGAGGTAGGCGTAATAAACCAGTAACTTCATACAGCTGAAAGATTTTTGCCGTCCCGGTAAAGTAAAATCTCATTCGTGGAGTCCGGAGAAGACAAAAATGCGATACAAAAATAAATTTAATAGTGAAAGAACCAAACAATGCAGAACAATTCCAATGGTTTCAAAACAATATGAATGGTGTTTACTCTTCTAATTAGGTACTTCAGAATTGAAATATCAACCAACAAATGTAATGACAAAGATAAGACTAAAGAGTAAAAAAGAATGAACTTTATTGCAAAAAAAAAATATATGATAAGGGTAATTTCCAACAGAAAATGGAACAAGTCATAATAATGATTCTCACTAATGTGTCCAGTATCATTTAACACTGTATAGGGTTTTGCACAAGTTTAACCTTATATATATACCTTGGGAAAATTCGAAGAATTCTTCAAAATTGTATGATGCTGTGTCGAACAGAAAATTTATCCAAACAGTATTTTCTTCAAACTGATAAATTCCAATTGCATTTGATATTTTTCCTAATATACATTGCCATTATCTTCTCTTCTGCTCTATAACCTGACAGGGATTGTCGCGCAGCTCCGAGGAAACAACCTGCAAATAAATTCGACTTTGAACGAGTGGCAATGACAATACGTTGAATCGTAGAACGGCAACAAAGTTCCATAACCAGACATGAAGATATACACCACAATGACACGTTATAAACACACTTAAAAACATTACTAAGTCTATTTTCGTATATGGTACTACAGGAAAAGTATTTAATGTAAGCAAAATACAGGTCGTCTTATATGAAATTGTGATACAGGAATGGTAAATTTAAAAAAAAAAGTAATAATAATAATAAATAAATAAAAAATAAGAGGCACACTACCCAAACATTCATACTCAGACAATATCACTTTTAATGAGAGGGACTCTTACTTCACCATCCTTATATTCAATGAGATCAGATATTTTAATTATGAAGGACTGAGAAGTGGAATCGGGATTTGCCACTTGTTGACCTTTCCCCATCTGGTTTTATTAAAATCAAGTGACCCTATTTGACTTCTACTTCAAGTGATTGTGGCGCTTTTTATTGATCTATGATAGCTCTTGATGCTAGTACGACTCAGAAAGTGTACTTAAGGAATAATAGTTCAGTCCGTGCAAATCCAATAAACCGAAATCCGAAAATTAAGGAAATAATGTCAACCCAGAACATGACCACATCCTATAATAGCGTTTAGAGAAGGAGCTAAGGAGTGCGGCAATTTGGCCATTTTGCCCCCACCAGCATGTCATTTCAGAAATTGTCATCAACAAATACGACTTGTCTCACAAGTTAGAATAGCATATCAACAAATGGATTATCGAGAGATACTTGCCCTAGCAGTGAAGAAGAATTTACCACAGAACTCTACTATATTCTTGACTGCAAATTATAACTAGGGTCTGACAGCAATAAGATGTCAAAGATGCAATTTTGCAAGACCAAATCCTATAGATTTTAGAGAGGAGATCTGTAAATACGCAAAGCTCAAAAGAGGCCTTGTACATGCTTAAGAAAACCTCAAACGGCGTGGTCTGAAAGATGCCAACAAGAACTAGGGTACAGATAAAGCCAAGGAGATCAATATGTTGTTTCATGGTAAATCATGGTCTTTATATTAGTCTGGGTCAAATTAAAATTGAAAAGTTGCAAGGTAAATTGAATAAAACAGCGAGGTAGATACCACATCGAATTTTGAAGAACGTGCATCAACTCAATAGTAATTAAGAGGAATAAAGAATTTAACCTTGAGCAGCACAAAGTTAACTTATGTGGGAAGAAGAGGTTGTCTCTCATCAATTCCAACACGATGACTAGCCTGGAGAAAGAAAATAGAAAAAATAAGAAAATGGAGTCCTTCACAAAGAAGAATTTTTGCATCTTTAACAGAATAAGAATGATAACGGACTGTACCTCCTCGTTAGCTCCAGCAGCCATATTTATGAAGGATGACTCCCTTGACCTGGAAAGGAAGGGTAAGAGAATATGCAGTGTGACACTAACTTCATAAAGTTGTCAAAAATGTAAAGAAAAGAAAACTCGGGAAGCTAGTACAGAATGAAATGATGTGAACTGAAAATGAGGAAAATTCACCAAAAATATTGTCTTATAAGAGCCAAAGTCAAGCAATGTCTTAGAATATATATTCAACATACTAAAGCTGATTGTATTTATGACCTTTCCCATAATGGCGTTTAAATCCTTTGAGTGCGTGTGTGTGTTGTAAAGTCAGGTTATAAGCCAAAAAGAAAGAAAAACTGATTGTACTTCATTGTTTATGATCATTTATTTTTTGACAACAGAACATGTAACATTAGCCACTCTCTACCCTGTCCTTTCCCCTCAGCATGCAAAACCCCTACCCCTCCTACATGCTCAATAAACAATGAGAGAGAGAATACAGTTCCTCAATACAAATGAAAAAAAAAAGATAATAGAACACGTCGAAATAGAACAAAAATGTTATGTTTGAACAATCAACAGGGAGACAATTCACAATTCATAAGTGCATATGGAATCAAATAATGTCAGTATATGCCATACTAAATTGAGTGTCATTATAATCTACAAGCTCTGAAGCTCTTTACAAGAAACAAAGTTGTGAAGTAAATGACATTAAGCCTTGTATGGTCATATTTATATGCAAGATAAGTCGGGCTGTATTACTTATATATTGCAGGAAGACAAGAGAAGCATCATTATTTTACACAATTAGTAAGCAAAGACGGTGAAACATTGTTGTGTAGCATGTAACTAAAGAAAAACAGAATACCTATGATTATCCTGCACGCCAACTGCCCCAAGCCCACCATTTTGTTGTTCCTCCTTAGCTTTTGAAAGAGGTGAAAAGAACTGACAAACAGAAGAAAACAAAAAAATAAGCCTCAACAGATATAGATGACAAGATAGATACTTCTGTTACTTATGGTACCTGGTGCATTGAGATGAATACCACAGAAATTCCTAACATAAAGTTTACGGTTAAAGTATGGCCAAATAAAACGGCCGATGCTATGCCTGTAAATATCGTGGCAACAGTTGACGAATACTTCTTCAAAATTGTATCTGGGGACAGAATGGAAGGCTTGTGTAAGCATTTAACAGAAAATAATAATTATAAGGCTAAAAGGAAATAATCACCAATCCTCAGCTCCTACAATCACACTTACCGGCATATTTGAAGAAAAAGGAGGATAGAATTCCCTGTGCAGCATTGTTACATATCAAAAACATGGTAGCTTTTGAATGTCCTTCCAATATATCAAAGCTGCTTGGACCTGACACATTTATAATGATGTTATTTACGTAAACAAGGAAATCGATTTCACCCTCCAACAGCGAACATAGCCATGTAGTCTTAATGTGATGATAATCAAATAAATGTAAAGCCTTATAATCAAGATATTACATTCAGTTAAAACTAGTATGAAGACTAGAGAAACGAATTGCCCTGCTACCTTTAAACATGGCAGATACAACAATTCCTAGAAAGTTGAATAGAGCTCCATATCCATATAAGAATAAGTTCTGCATATTAAAAACAAATCATAATCATAAAACCAATAACTCAGTCAGAACATCAATGTTAACGACAGGAAACTGAAAGAAAATTCCAGGTAAAGTGAAAAAACAACATTCATTGACTTAATTGAATCTCCTACAAATGATTAAATCAAATCATTCTCACCACATCATTCTTTGAAAAAAAAAAACAACCCAAATTACACTTATTTCTAAGACACTGCCAAAAACCGGTAAACTTGAGCTATACCATCTTCACAATTATAATGGCATTTCTTCATGACCACAGAATGCATGGCGTAATCAGGAAGCTGCTGAGACAATTAAAAAAAACTATGCTTCCTATATTAAGGAGGATGCAGTGACATTGAAAAATTCAGATCTGTTGCTTCATTAATACAACTATATTCATACCATGACACTTACAGACAGAGCGTGTTTGAATGGAGCCATATAACACATATACAGGAAAAGATAACAAGACAAGCCCAGTAGGTCAGAAGTAGAAAGAGTAGATACAAACTGTAAAAGCATTCTACATTTGACCATATTAGATCACCTGAAGATAAATGCTGGTATCATATTGGCTTTTCAGAGCATATTCATTGAAAACTGAAGCCATAGAAGGAACAGTCACCTGCATTAAGTGTTCAAATATAAGCTTTGGTTGCAGATTAAAAAATCCATAAAAAAAATGCCAAGGTAATAAGGAAAAAAAAAAAAGAGGGTTTCGGGTATAAATTCATGGATACAATAACCAGTAGATGCCTTGAATCACTTACGAATATCAGAGTGTATATATATGCAGCAGTTGTAACTGGAAGAGCCAGAGCAGCGGTACCCTCAGGTAAGGATTTAAGTTGATTTATACTAATCCCAATCAGCAATAAAGCAAGAGCCTCCCACTGCGATGTAACAATATATCACCACCAAATATTTGACATGTGAATAAATGTCGCCTCAGTGGCTCATTTTGCAGCTAATTCATCAATCTTTCATTTCATTTACATCCAATCAATTGGCAAACCTTCAATTTTAATAATGGATTTCAATCTAATCCAAATATCTTATGATAAATCATTGAAACTAACCTGAATGACAGAAAATTGACGTCTCATTATTACTCTCAGGAGTACAGCAATGACTAAAACCTGTACAATAGTACACATGAAAAGAGTGAAACGGATTTCAAAACATGTTATACAAACCTTGCTAGTGCTAGCATCAATAATAAGAATGTTAACCCATTGATCCATTGGTAGCCTAGTAGGATACAAAAATGGGATAAAATATGATGTGGAACCAAGTCGACTGCCTACTAGCAATAGTTGCTATAATATCTGGAATAATCTCAAGAAAATATATCATGTAATAAACAATGCCCTCTAAAGATCATGGTGCAGTTTTGTGCTCAGAGATTAGTAGTTGTGATAACAAATTCATCATGCTTCACAAGGCTTTTATGACATTGGCAGTAGAAAATAAATCAGGAATTACATCCTCAGCCCTTTTTATTCCACAATGTGTTGAACACCAATAATATAGGATTAAAATACTAGAATTCACGTAATACGACATATAAATAGCCAAAAAAACTGCATTAGCAACACACCTTTAGATTGCTCAACATTTTCACTGTTGCAGGATTGAAATATAGCTGAGGAAAAAAAAATAGTTATTAGAAATCTAGAAAAGGAAGTAAGAAATTACAGTACCGTAAATCCAATAACAAAGACATGAAAAGCAGTTAGTAATCAGAAAAAATCAAAAAGAAAAGTTGCACCAAAAGTGCAATTAAGCACATATTTCTATGAAATTATAAGTTCAACAATGGTCTCTGGCTAATCAGATGTGAGTTTGAAACAATAAAGCTGGTAGGCGTGTATGAAAAAGGGGGTTATTATAGTCTTTCAGATCCTCATGCTTCACCAGGATAAAAAGCATCTAATGTGGTCAAAAAAACTTTATTCAAGAAATTTTCATCTATGCTTAGTCATCCACAATTTGGGCAAAATCATTTGTTTGCACTAAAGGTTATAGCAATATCTTTAACTACAATATGATAAAATTTTCCATTCATTGCATGCTTCCACGGTTCAAATGAAGACGTAATGTAACTCAATCATTATCAAACGTCTTCCTAACTGGGATTTGTTCATATGCGAGGATCCTATTCTCCGAGACAGTTCTATCTTTTCTTCATTTCGCATTTTGATCTGAACTATGTTATTGGGCTATATTGGATAGGCAAGATATAATATCACATGATTCACCTCAAAAACAACTTAAACTTTTAGATGAAGTGATCGTTCACATGGTATCAGAGCCGTAAGAAATGTAATGTCCTGTGTTAGAATCCAATCGCCACTGGTTAAAAAAGTTCATGTGCAAGGCTTCAAAATATAGCACACTTGCACGTGAAGGGACGTATTGGAGATATAAATATCCAATGATTCACCTCACCAACAACTATGGATGATAATGGGCACCCACTGCGCTAGGCTAATGGCTCATTCAAGACTAAGCCCTGAATCAGTCATGACTACGCCCTTGATCATTCCTGACTAAGCCTTCCACCTCATCTAGGTGTTACGATCATATTAAATAAACCATATTCAGATATGAAGCTGAAGCAATGGGGTTTATCCGTAAGATGAATATTAAACCTTGTTTAAGATTTATAAGGCTCCACTAAGATCCAGGAGAGGAAGTGAAAAGACAGGCCTGGAACTCAATTGTATCGTATTTGTCTTTCAATAAACACCCATATCAATTGGAAAAAGAATCATCTTGGGTTTTCATTACTATTATGATAAAAAGAATGCTCTCTTAGTGTTCTAAAATCCTACATCCTACTATAGTATTAGGTTTCTCCAATGTAATATTCTTGGATCATGACATTAGAAAGTAGTCGTTGAATAGTTCAACAAAGAGGGAAAAGAACAGATGAAACGGTGCAGATATTATAAAATAGGCAATTCTACAGATGGTACATCGCCGAACTGATGGTACCTGCATAATGAACTTCAGGTAGTTATTTACAGCATAAAGAAGGGCCGGAACGGCAAGAAGCGTATTGCTGCGAGCAGCCTGCAAATATATAACATTATTCCATCATCAGCGGGATAAGGGATGGACTATTGTCTTTGTAAGATAAAAAGAAAGATCCAGATACCATATATTTTGGCATCAAATAATGAAACGCGAAGAAAGAAAAAATTAGACAACTAATGAAATCTTTTTGAAAGAGAAGATTGTTGCTAAGTTAACATCAACTTTCAAGAAAACAGAAAACCATGAACTAGGTATACATAAAATTAAAACAACCGCAATCATGATAGCAATCGTACATTAGACCTGGATAAATAAAAAATGAAACTGAGAAACATCAGTACTTCAAGAACATCATCAAGAAGCTCTACATCCATTACGCAACAAAAGATTCTAAACAGAAAACTATAATGGTTGGACTCAAAGAATTGCTTCGAACAATCGCATTCTCACAACAGTACTGAAACAGAATGCAGTTTCAGAATTATTCCTGTATCTCACTATACGGATGCCACAAATCAAGCACCTCTTACAATTAACATCTTAAGGCAAACATGAGGGATATACAGGCCCGTCATCAAACAGAGAACTTGAAAATCTCTAGTATGTTTGGTTCCTAAGAAAAAATGGTGATGAAACTAAATTTTGTGGAAAATCATTTTCTTTACCCAAGAAGGCGTGTTTGTTAAGGTTCTGCCATGGAAGTGAACTATTCCCATAATTGGGTGTTTTCTAAAATGGAGTGGAATTGAAATTGAAGAAGATAGAAAACCTGTTACGTTCTTACATGTAGGTTTCCTCACTTTTTTTGAGGAAAATGTATTTTTCCTTGTTTAGTCACAAAATATTCACGTTTCCCCAAATCATTTTACCTAGTATTTTACCTCCTAACCAAGCAGGAAAGATAACACATTGACCAAAGCGTTTAACAACCATAATATTTCTGATAAAATGCATGTGTATCAAAAGGAAGTATCCTCTAAAATCAAACTTGTAACATGCTAGATCAGTGTGTAAATCTACCTGAATAAACGTGGAGATTGATAGAAGCGACTTTTCACCAACCTTCTGTCGCCTAGCCTGGATGTTACATAGATGAGCAAGGGTATATACACATTAGTATTCTGTTTAGCAGTCCGCTATTATAACTACACCCATGAACCAGAAAGAGAAAGATTGAAGATGAAAATTGGATCATAACAATTTCTATTTTGGAACAAAATTGTCAAATTACCAAAGAGAAACAAATCAGGCAACAGCCTTTGATTTCATAATTTATTTAAAATATCGAAAAAAAATTAGAGCATGCAAATATAAATAATATTTGGAAAATCATTTTCATGTTTTCTCGGTTCGACGGGAGTTTCAACATTATGGCACATCTCAGCAAGTCATTAACTAAAATCTCCAATCTTATTCATACAGGTCTTGCAAACACAAAGTACAACATTGGCTAACAATGAAGATAAGAGAAAGTCATAGAGATCCCTGAAGGATCTAATATTTCGCCATCACAAACAAAATTACACAGCAATAGAAGTTACACCAATTTCATAGAAATTAATGACAATTGTATATCGAAACGGCATGAGTACTTTCATCCATCATCTTCATGCTTATTAATTGACCCCCAAGGAATTTTAGTATAAAGGAAAATCCCATGATCCATTATGCCATGGTTCATAATATATGGAGTCTACAGTACAAGATAACGTGCTTGCCCTGCAACTTCTTATCACACAATAATAAGTTTTTCCACTTATTTTCCATATTTGTACCGTTCCCATAAAGAAACTGCAAAATTCTACCTTTTTCTTCTTGTTGCTTAATGAAACCTTGAAACATTCAAACAGTTTTATCGGAATTCTACTACCATAAAATGGAGAAAACTACCTGGAATATAAGCATTAGGATTGCAAAAACAAGTTTTGCAACCTCTGTCAGAAAGTTGACACTAATAGGGCTAAACTTGAAGCGACCATCCACCTTTGACATAAAAACCAGAATAGGCTGGAAAAGAAAATATCAGACATTTCTTAGTAACAATTATGAGAATAATAGTGAATTATACATAGCAATACTGCATGTAACTATTTATGTACAAAAAACTTAAGGGTGAGATCCACTCTGGTAACTGTGGCTGTGTAGTTTGGGTTGGGACCTGAAAAATTGGGTAGTATTCTCCAATTTAGAGGTGGATATTGGGTAATCCGTGTTGATTGACGACCCATTTTTTTCATTGTTAGGTACACGTGTTTGTGTTTGGCATTTCGTTACCCCTTGAAGTTTGATTTTTTTTACCAACACACCCCTTAAAAGGTTCAATTTGTAAAATAAGAACAAACATCAAGGGGATATTTGTGATTTTATAAATTTAACTGAGTTTTTCCTTTAAATAGGATAAACATCAAGGGAGTCCATATAATTTACCTAATAACTAATCATTATGCAGTATCTTAGAATTCAAGGGATTTCCTACAAGAAAAGGTCTTAAGGTTCTTATAAATTTCACAATCTTCTTGTTTCAATATAGTTTTGATCAATATCCCAGCCATGTACACGGTTTTATCTTCTCGTCCTTTATATTTCCCATTCTCCTCGCTTCTTTATGCATACAGTTCTTTCTTTTTCCATCCAATTGCAGGATTATTTTTATTTTAACGATACTTTATGAACATTAGCAAACCGAAGAAAATAAACGATCCCATAAACAATGCTCTCTCAAAAAATAACTTGGACAGTAGTATAATCAAAAGGGTAACAGCATAAAAATGTGTACCTGAAAACCAACTAGTACACAATCACCGCTAACTAATAGGAAGTTAAGCGCCCGTTGCTTTGATGACACCTTGCTCCTGTGTTGATCATACGCTCGTGAAATAGCTTTCGTTGACGGGGATGCCAATTTAGAGTGACAGACGCTGCACTCTACCATCCCATTCTTCATCAGCATCTCGTTCTTCATCAGCCAACCCCAAGGCAAGCTGTGAAAATTTAACCTGAAAAAGGGTAAAAAGGATTTAATGCCTCATCAATAACTACATCTCCGAATAGAACTTTCGTAGCTACTTAAGTAATCAATCAAACTCCCAAATCATTTATAATCAGCTGGCAAACAACTACCAAATCCAATTCAAAAAAATTCAATCAGATCTTATCAGAAAAAGGATAAACTCCTAAAAAGCTTTCCGCATGAGAATTGGAGCAACATTCAGTTCAAATCCACAATTTTTTGCCGGATCAAGCTTACAAAACAACATGAAGAAAAAAAAAATCCAACGGCATTTGGTACGCGTTCAATCAAATCGAAATTGAGGTTCAGATCGTGAAAGCTAATCGTAATTGAGCGCGTGAAAACACGTACCTCTGATAGCAGTTGAATACCGACGAGGATTTGACGAGAGATTGAAGAGTGAAAGCGGCGAGATCTGGCCGAGGCTCCGCCGACGGGATCTAAATTGCCGGAGAAAAAAAATAGTTCCCCAGATGCAGAGAATTCAATTTATTTTGGTTTTCTATATATATATATATATAATGTAGACTAGAGACTGTTGTGGAGGAGGAGTAACGTAAGTTGAGTACCTATGTAATGTAAGTAAAACTTTTTCATTGCATTTAACTTTATTAACCAAGATGTTAAAATAAAATAAATAAAAGGTACTTTAGAGGGGAATGTGCTAAATCCCTTACAAACACTTTTAATTAGAACATTTGCAACAATTTTTAATTACAAATTTAGAATTGGTACATCTTTGTTATTAATTTTTAATTAGGAATTCACAAACACTTTTTCATATTTTTATTCATGAATTGATAAATTTATGGGTTTTTTTTATGTCGAGGATGTTCGAATTAAACTTTTCAGCTATGTAATACGGACATGGAAACTGTGATATAGTCACCCTACACCATTTTCGATTTTTTACACCTAATTTAGGTGTTTTTAACCTCTCAACTTAAATCACTAAATCACCATTACATTTAAAATTATGATGATTTGGTTTTAATCTCCCATCGTGGTCAAAACCTATATCACCATATTACCAAATCATATATTTTCAACATTTTTTTTGGTGAAGAAATTTGCATCTTCCACCCTTCCACCATTTTACCATTTTTTCCACCAAATCCTATTTTTTCTATCAAATATAGAAATTAAAATAGGATTTGGTGTAATTATCACCATTTTATTATTAGCATATAAAATTATTATATCAACTAATTAATGAATTAGTGTTCAAAAGATAAATACATTATTTATTTATTTATTTATTTATTTATTTATTTATTTATTATTATTATTATTATTATTATTATTATTATTATTATTATTATTATTATTATTATTATTATTATTATTATTATTATTATTATTATTATTGTTATTATTATTATTATTATTATTATTATTATTATTATTATTATTATTATTATTATTATTGTTATTATTATTATTATTATTATTATTATTATTATTATTATTATTATTATTATTATTATTATTATTATTATTATTAAATATAAATATGTTTGGCTGGCTCTAATAATTTATATGTTTAAACAATAAATATATTCATTATCATAAACAACAAAAAATATAACATTATAACGTAACATAATAAATTACAAGACAAATTATATAAATAAAATACATATAAACTACTTAGTTATGCATTAAGTTATGTAATTATTTTTATTAATTTTGCTGTAATATTTATATGCATTAAGTTAGAAATTATTGTTTATGTGTGGTTTGGTTATATGTATAATAATAATTTACGTTGATTTTCATTCATGTTTCAATAGTTTTTTGAAATTCCCATAATTTTAAGATTATATAATTAATAAAATCTATATATAATATAAAAAGAGGATCTATGCCCTCAATGATTGACATGTGGCAAATGATGATGTCATTTATCAAAATTGCTTAGTTGGAGTTCAATTGATGAGGTGGATTCTTCAATTGGTGATTTGTCAATTTTATTTTGGTATGTATTTAAGTTATTTCCTATTTCACATTTATACACTCATTTAAACAATTACCACGTGTATATATAATATTTCTGGAATTTAATATCCCTTCATTTCTAAAAATATTATATTTTTTATAATTTTAATTTTCTAAACTATATTTTTCGCCTGTTCTTTTTTAAAATTTTAATATCAGTATCAGTATCAATATTAGTATTAATATCAGTATCAATATTAGTATTAGTTTTAGTATTAGTATTAGTATTTGTATTAGTATTAGTATTAGTATTAGTATTAATATTAGTATTAGTATTATTATGAGTATCAGTATTAGTATCAATATCAATAACAACATCAGTATCAGTATCAGTATGAGTATGAGTATGAGTATGAGTATGAGTATGAGTATAAATATCACTATCAATATATGTATCAATATCTATATCTATATGAGCATTGTTATGAGTATTGGTATGAGTATTAATATTGGTATTAATGTTAATAATAGTGTTAATAATAGTATTAGTATCAGTATCATGTGTATGTGTATGTGTATCTGTATGTGTATTAATATTAGTATCACTATTAATACCAGTAGTATTATCAATATCAATATTATTATCATTATTATTATCATTATTAATATTAATAATAGTATTAGTTTGAGTATTAGTATTTGTCTTGTCGTATTAGCATTAACATTAACATTAGTCTTAATATTAGTATTAGTTTTAGTATTAGTTTAAACATTAAATATTCGTATTAAAATTGGTGTATTATTATTACTAGTAGTGTTGATTTTTTTTGCTTTCGATTTCGTTTGAGTACATTCAAGTCCATTACAAGGGTAAGTAGGGGAGGGGGGACTCGAACCCTAGTATCACTTCTCCTATTGAGGGTTGGGTAATAGTAGTGTTGATATTAGTATTAGCATAAGACTATTGGTATTAATCATCGTATTAATCTTAGTATTAATATTAATATTAATATTATTAGTGTTGGTTTGAGTATTAATATTAGTATTGGTATTACCACTATCAATGTTGGTTTTAGTATTAGTATTAGTAGTTGTTGTTAGTGTAATATTAATGTCATATTAGGGTTGCATAGGAAATTGTACGCCGTAGTGTCTAGAGTTAAAAGTAGATTTGAAATAAAAATATTTATCAACTCAGAATCGGGCGATATAACTAACTTTACGAGCAATGTTGTGTGCACAAAAAATTTTCAGCGAATATGAAGGTAAATCACAAACAAATGTATATTTTGATTCAATAAAACATTTTTTGTGGGTATTATTTATATGTATGTCAACTGTTCAAAGTTTTGTTCGTTTTATTTTATCCAAAATATTTTTTAGAAATTAATTGATCCCGTGCATCGCACGGGTGAATTACTAGTTATTACTTATAATCGGATCTATACTCAATATTTTTTTTTAAATTAAAATAGACTAAAGTTGATTAACATTAAATTTATACTTTTATAATATATTTGGTAAAATATCATGGGTAACCAAACAAAATGGTATTCTCTATAAATAGGAAAATGGTGAAATATTATTATTTTATTATTTGGTATAAAATATGATGGAATTGGTGGGAGACCAAATACACTATTTGTTCACCAAAAGTACTGAAATTCCAGAATGGTGTGATAAGGGTTGGAGATAAACCTATTTTTTCACCACAAAAAATCGGATTTGGTGAAAAAATTGTGATAACGTTGAAAGATGCTCTTAGCCTCCTACCATAAATCATTATAATATCATTACATCTATTATGGAGATTTGATTTTAGCCTCCCATGATGGTCAACTACTATATCACCATATACCAAAATCCTATTTTTCCACTAAATTTATGGTGAAGAAATTTTCATCTCCCACCGATCCACTATTTTCCTTTTTTTTCCCACCAAATTATGTTTTTCCTATCAAATGTAGAGATGAAAATAGAATTTGGTGCAATTAAAACCATTTTATCAATTAGTAAATAAAATGATGGTTTTAACTAATTGCATGTGATTTATCAATTTATTAGCAAATTTATTATAAATACATTACTGTTAATTAATAAATTAGATTTTAAAATATAAATACATTTTTTTATTTTTAATAAAAACATTAATTCTAATAAATATAAATATGCTTATTTTAATTAATTTGTATATTTTGTTGGTATGAATATTGATTAGCTCACTTATTATTTAACTAAGACGCTAAATGATTTTAATAAAGTATAATAAGCAACAATAGAATGATTAATGATACACACTTTAATTGATGAATACATGACATCGCATTTAAATGATATACATAGCTCATAAAACAACATAATATGATAACAAAACATAATAAATTACAACACAAAATTATATAAATTGAAATTCTCATGAACTACTTAATAGTATTAATTGTCCTAGTTGTTCGGAGATTCCGGTTGAAGATTCTGATTGTGGTGATGACGATAATAATGGTGAATGAGCGGGTTTCTTTGGTTTTATTTTTTATAATTTTAGATTAATTTATGTTGTATATTACCTATCTATACAATAGATTGTAGATTATTGTTCATGTAGTATTTTATTATATGTAAAGTAATTTCAGTTATGTTTAGATACTTTTTAAAATTTATAACATCATTTTTAAATGAGATTAAATTCTGATCGGATGAGCCGATATTTAATATAAATCGGATTCCACTAATTTTTTGACACGTGGCACTTTTAAGTCCAACTCTAAATAAATCACGCTATTATAATTAGGGCTAGAGGGGTTATGGATTCTGTTGGGGGTTTTTTTTTTTTTTTTCCAATTATTAGAATACTAATTATATTTTAATTGAAATTATCCACGTGTCAATCATCCTATGGCATTCGATTTTCTTATTAAAACAGACCATCCGGTCTAAATTTGCACCCTTTTTAAATTACATAGTTAAAAAAATTATTACTTAAAATTTGATCAATAATTAATATTTAGGAAATAAAATATAATAAAAATTAAATATTAAATTTATAATTTTATGACATATCTATATAATATATAAAGGGAGAATACACAATCAATGTTTTTAAACCTTCAATTTTGATCCTACATTTTTCATTTATTTCATTTTTTGACTTCTTTCTATAATTATTTTTTTCGTTTAATTAAGAAAAGTTAATAGAAACAATTTTTTTTCCAATATTTATTAATTTACCTTATATCATATACCGGACTGTGATAAAATATTTATGGTAATTAATATGACATTATTTTAATTACAATTTAACTTACCATTCTTCAATTTTATAATGTATTTCTTCAATTGAAAATTTAGATCCATGTCTATAATTAATATTGATTATAAATATATTATGGCAACATTCTTGTTTTATGGATTATTATACAATGCATCAAATCGTTAATCAATAATATAAGTTACTATTTTAGCTAAACCTAAAAAAAATCTTTACACAAGAAAAACTAACCCCCTATAAATACCGCATTGTTTTCATTCATTTATCATATCCGGACGTGTAACTCAGGGAAGCGTTTTGCTTTGTTTGTTTTTTT